CCGCTCGGCGGGAAGCCTGCCTCTCCCCCCTCCACTCCCCCTGCCTGTGCTCCTCTCTCACTGTGTCTCTCTCTGTCAAATAAATAAATAAAAGCTTAAAAAAAAAAAAAAAAGAAATTAAATACTTCATTCAATTCCTGTTTGTCCTTAAAATCAGTACATAGTTTCAATTATGACCCATGTTTTGTTAAATATAGGTTACTCATCAATTTTATTTCATTTTAAAACTCTTGACAAGGTCCAAATCAAAGTTATTAACTTGCATTTATGACAAAATTATAGTCCCTCCTTAAAGTGGTTCATATTGAGTGGGACTTTTTTTCCTGATCCCCAATTAGTGTTAGGAAACTAAGATTCTCTTCTGTATGTCTGGACCATAACATGTCAATGTTGTATCCTTTGGCTGCCGGTCTTGCATTTTCCTTAGCACCAGAAGAAAGGAATGTTCCCCAACCTTGGAGAATCTCCTCCCACCCCATCCTGCCCCTCCTGCGGTAAATTCTCAGCTTCTCCTTGCACCCACTGAGAAAGGGCATCAAGGGTTACTGCCTCTTTCCACCGCCCCAGCAGGCCTGGACTACCTCGTTCTCCCTCCCACTGTGCTTTTCCAGGCTCTCCACCTCCTTACTTTTCATCTTCATCTGCTTCCTTTTGCTGTCCTCAGCTCTCCTCTTCACTCCAGATGAATACTTGGATTTTCTCAGCCTCTTCCGGGAAATAACCCAGACCAATTCTATTCAGTCCCTGACACTAGCTCATGATGCTGGTGTTTCTGCCAGACTGGCCTCATTTGTCACCAAGAGAAAAAAGCAGCTGTTAACCATCCATTCTCAAAGAAAACTGAGATTGACAAACGTCACACTGCTTTGGGGCTGGGTCTTGGGGCAGGAAGCTTGGGATGGGACTACACATCAGGAAATTTCAAATCCAACCTTTTCTTCATCGAACTTTGGGGCTCAGAAACCACTATATAGTGGTTAGAATTCCTTATGTCCAAAGTATCAGAACATCCAACTCAAACCAGTTGAAGCACTGAAGGGAATTTGTTACCTCATATAACTGAAAAGGGCAGAGCCAGGCCTAGCTTTGGGTCAGGTTTGCTCCAGACACTCATCTGATGCCACCAAGAATCCAATTTCATTCCATCCCTCCTCTCTGCCTACCTCTCCTCATTCTAAAGCTGGCTCCTCTCTTGGTCTCAGGACATCTGTCAGACTCTCCAAAGGTTACTGAAGTCCACTCACCAACAGCTCAATACAAGTCTCGGCAATGAGTCGTTATCATTATATTAATTCAGTCTTATCAGAGGGGCCATGATCCTTCCCCCAATACTCTCTGCTCCCCCTGTCCTGGCCCCCAGCATATATGCACACATTCCCTGAAAAGCAAAATATAAACATCTGTCCCACCCTTCAGACAATCCTGATATATTAGTGTGTTTTTTCAGCCTTTTAAAAAGTATCTACATGTTTATATCTGTATGTGCTAGATATGGAGAAAGATTGATTATATGTATATATGTTTATACATAAAAATGTCATAGGTAGTTTATACTTCTTTAATTGAAGTATGGTTGACACACAATGTTACATTAGTTTCAAGTGTATACATAGTTTACACTTGAAAAAATGTTGACCACACACATTCCCTTCGAACTTCTCTCCATGTGAATTAATACTCTTTTACAATATAATTTCTAATGGTAGCATCTAAGAACAACCTAAGGCTACATCAGCATTTCTTTCAGGCTTCCCAACTGCCAGTGATTTTTATTTGGAATTCCGAACCAATGCTTCAGTCTGCTACTGTCAAAAAAAAAAGAAAAAAAAAAAAAACCTTTATAAAATTATTGTTAATTTAATCAGTTGTAATAATGACATTATGGTTTATTTAAAAGGAAGAAAAAGTCCTTATTGGTTAAGATGTACCCACTGACAAGTCAAATGTGAAGATATTTGGGACTTGCTTTAAAATATTCCAGGAATAGGGGCGCCTGGGTGGCTCAGTCAATTAAGTGTCTGCCTTGGGCTCAGGTCATGATCCTGGGGTCCTGGGATCGAGCCCCTCGTCAGGTTCTCTGCTCAATGGGGAGCCTGCTTCTTCCTTTCCCTCTGTCCTTCCTCCCCACTTGTTTTCATGCTCTCTCTCTCTGTCTCTCTCCCTCTTTCTCTCTCTCAAATAAATAAATAAAATATTTTTAAAAATAAATAAAATAAAATAGGGGTGCCTGGGTGGCTCAGTCGGTTAAGCATCTGCCTTTGGCTCAGGTCATGATCCTGGGGTCTTGGGATCGAACCCCTCGTTGGGCTCCCTGCTCAGCGGAGAGCCTGCTTCTTCCGCTCCCTCTACCCCTCCCCCTGCTTGTGCTCTCTCTCTCTCTGTCAAATAAATAAATAAAAATAAATAAAAAATCTTTAAAATAAAATAAAATACTCCAGGAATAAATAAAAGTGGGGAGCAGGGGGTGTGATTGCTGAACAAGAAAGACAAAAAAAAACTGAGTCTAGGGGTGGCACTTGGCTGGCTCAGTCGGTGAAGTGTGCAACTCCTGATCTCGGGGTTGTGAATTCAAGCCCCATGTCAAGTGTGGAGATTACTTAAAAATAAAATCTTAAAAAAAACAAACAAACTGAGTCTAATTGGCCCTGATTAGCTGGCTTGGATTATGTCATTGGCTGATCCTCATGCAATCTCTGTGATGGGAGAGATGAGAGACACTATCTGGTTCAAGCTAGTTGGGCTCACTCTTTGGGGTTGGAGTCAATGCCAACTAAGCCACATGGATGAGAAATGCAAGCTACTCTTAGGAAGGCAGACATGGTTGTTGGAAGGCTAAAAATTAACTCCAGACCACAAGTCCCACATCCTTCTTGGATGGAGGGCAAGTTAATGTACCTAACTGTCCCCAAACCGGCAATAACAATATATGTCTGCACACCTTTCCACAATTTGCCAAGTTCCTTTCCATCCATTACCTCCTTCAAGCCTCATATTTTCTCTGAAAGGTAAATACTAGTAACCCTGACGTCCAGATAAGCAAACTGAGATTCAGGCCAAGAACACATAACTGGTCAGTGGCAGAGACGTGACTTGAACTCCTAAATTCTGTATTTCTTCATGATAATGCCACTGATTTCCTAGGAGATGAGTTTCTAGAAAACCACATTCAAAGCTGCCCCCAAATAGCAAAACATGGTCTGAGCCCCAGCTCTTGATCCCTTACCCAGTACACAAATAGGCCCACCAGGACAGCCTGTTTTATGATGTCCTTGGTTCTGGAAATCCTGAATTCTACCATCTGTAAGCCTAAGGGATGACATTGCCCACCCTCAGGCCCTGTGACAGCACTATTGTTTCCCATCGGGCAGAGTCCTGGGTTGTATCCAAGCCAGCTCCATGGGACTCGAAGTCCTTTCCTCTTGGACTCTCTTCATCCAATATGTGTCAAATATCTACTAAAGCTCAAAGTCCTCGCCATAGCCATCAAGCTCCCCTACCTGTTTCTCTGACCTCCCCTCCAACCATTCTCCCCTCACTCACTCCACTTCCTTCAAGTTTCTGCTTAAATATCACCTTATCGTGGGGTCTTTGCTAACCTTCAAAAAAAATATCAATGTCCCCAGCATTGTCAGTTCCATCTCTGTTTCAACTGTTTCCATAATAATTATACAACAAATGTCTTACACATTTACATCTGTATTGTGTGTCTCCCTTTCCACAAGAAGGTGAGCACCTCAGTCTTATCTGGTTTTGTTCATTGATGAATTCTGAGAATCTGGTACTGTTCTTGGCACGTAGCAGGTGTTCAATAAATATTTGTGAAATAATGAATGCTAGCAACACATCCAACTAGCCATACTCTCTTGCCTTTAGAGTTTTCCAGACATGGGTGACACCAGCCTAAGTGCCCCCCCAATGTCAGAAGACTCAGATGAGGTTTCCCAGGGGAATGTCCTCAGAGTCCTTCTCATTCTTAAAGTGTTCCTCTCCCCCTGACCCTCCATGACTGTGGGAGGCTGGGGTGATAACCAGAACACCAGTAACTTCAAAGAAACCCTTTCTCCTTCTCTTTAACTTCAACCTCTTAGGCCCTCAGGGCTGGTCAAGCTAACTTCAAAATTGATAAGTAAATCCTTCATGGCTGGAATGGAGCCTCACTTTACCTAAGGGTACTTGGCACCTCTACTTTCTTTCTGGCTTCTGTGGCCTTAGCCGACACCGAGATAGAAACAATCCATTGAACACCCTGCTGCACATATGTCATATCACTGAATGTTCACGGTGCCCTGATGTGTTTATCTCTGTTGTGCAGGTAGGGAAACGAAGTCTCAGAGAATCCTTCTTCCCTGGCCTCTGAGGCTGGAGAAATGCTCACAAAGTACTTGTCTCTCGGGTGCCCCAGAGAGCTATGGGTATTGTTGTTCTCCACCCCTGGATGCCACCCCCAGATAGTGAGTCAGGGTCTGGTCATCTGCTATTTGCTCTGTAGGACTCTGCTTCCCACCCAACTGTTAGAACATGCTCTACCCCCAACCAGCCAGCACCCACAGAAGCTGCTGACCCTGATCAGCTGGACCTCTGGTCTACTGCTGCAATAAGCAGCTTGGTGGGGAGATAAATGGATGTGATGATTAGCCTCAAATGAGGTCTAGGGATTATCCGTGGATTTTCTCTATCCTTGTGGCAGACACAATGAAGAGGGGAGGGGTTATGATTTCAGAACCCAGAGAAAGGAACCAAGCGTATTCATGAGTTGAATCGAATCGTACCAAATCTTAAGAATCAAATGGGTTCTGGTTTTGATCTATGTTCCATGACCTTGGACAAGTCACTTCACCTCTCTGAACCTGTTACCTCTCTCTGTACAAGAAATTAGAGACATGCTAAGAATGTTCTTCCACATCAGAAGAGGATCACTCTTCAAAGTTCTGGTTTGAAGGATCCTACATGCAGCCGCAAAGCTCTATGTCAATTTCCTCTAAGCACCTTATCTCCTATCGCATCTCCTCAGCAACATCTTGAAGGAGCAAACTGAATTGCCAGCTAAAACAACAACACTGATTCTAGCAGCCAACATTTGCCCAGCTTCTTCTATGCAAGCACTTCACTGGCATGTGACTATTTAATCCTCTCAAGAATCCTAAAAAATAGATTCTACTTCCTTCTCACTTTCCAGATGAGTAAATTGGGCCTCATGTGGCCTGCCCCATGTCACAAAGTTGGTGAGGCTTAAGACCGGCCTAGAACCCAAGTTCTATTCCCCAAAGCCAATATTTAAATATCTCAATATACTAAAACACTCTGCTAAATGCCTCGATTGCACATACCATGATTTCTGTACACTGTTCTGCTAGAGGCTCGAACTGGCTTCATGAGAGTGATCTTTATACATCTGATTGAACTACTAGGATGAGCACATACCATACTTGCCTCCTGCATCCCTGTTTTTTCATCTGTAAACTGGGGATGATAACACTTCCCTTTGAATGGCTGTTTTAAGGATTGAATGAAATATCATAAAAGTTCAAGAACTATCAGTTTTCCTTCTTTTCCCCTCAAAAATTAATATAAATTGACTTGCTGATATAATGACAGCTGGGATTTTTAAGAACATCAATGAAAACAGGAAAATAAGTTGGGTATGAAATTGATAATGTTGGAATTGTCTACCTACCTATCCAGCATGTGACATAATGCTCCAACTCTGGAGACGCTGTGCGTGCTGACGCTGAGAGCCAGATGATGCAGAAAACAGGGTGGAGAGGCTCTCATTCTCACTGACTCACTTTCTTTTCCCAGCCCTGCGGTTTCAGAGAAAAACACAATCGACATAGTCCTTGCTTTCATGGAGATTACATTCTGGTGAGAGAAGCAGAGAATAACAAGTAAATAAATAAGATGTTTCGAAGAGCAGCAAGTCTTATCAAAACTAAAGCAAGGTAATCATCTAGAGTGTAACTTGGGAAGAGAAGGGGCTATTTTAGGGAATGTAGGCAGATCAGCCTTCTGTGAGAACACATTTGTACATAAGCCTGAAAGCACAGAGCTGAGGCCTCTGGCTGGGAATGAGAAGTGCATACTTAAGGAATGAAAAGAAACTTTGTGGCTGGTGTGGAATGAGCAACAGGCTAAATGGTGGAATAATACCCTCCGATAGATAGGTGGGGCCAGACCAGGCAAAAGCCTTAAGGAAGTTTGAGTTTTATTCTGAGTTCAACAGGAAAGATGCCATGAGAGGTTTAGCAGACCAATAACTCGATCTGTTTTATACTTTGAAAAGTCACATTGGACCCAAACACATATGGACACTTGGTTTATAACAATGATAGCGTGCAGAACAATGCAGGAGGGGAATGGCTTTTTTTTTTCATTAAATGGTGCTATGTCAATAGAGTAGCCATATGGTCAAAAAATATTTAATCTTAACCCCTATTTCACACCATACACTAAAATCAATTCTTTGTGGATTGTATATCTAAATATAAAAGGTAAAACAATAAGGAATCTGAAAGATACCAAGAAGGATGTTTTCTTGAGCTTGAATGAATAAAAATTTCTTAAACAGAACACAAAAAGCACTAACTATAAAGGGAAAAAATGATAAATTGAACTATGATAAAATCAGCAACTTTTGTTCATCAAATGACACTAACAACAAAGGAAAAGGGCAAGCTACAGCCTGGGGGAAGATATTTACAATATATGTGGTTTCACAGCGCCTGGGTGTCTTGGTCGGCTGAGTGTCAGGTTTCCATTCAGGTCATAATCTCAGGGTCGTGGAATCGAGCCCCACACGTTGGGCTCCCCACTCAGCAAGGAGTCTGCTTGAGATTCTCTCCCTCTGCCCCTCCCCATGCTCACCCACCTGTGCACTCTCTCTCAAATAAATAAATCTTTAAAATATATATATATTATATGTACATATTATATGTGTGTGTGTTTATATATATATATGTATGTATATGTATGTGTGTATGTGTATATATATATGGTGGTTTGTGGCCCAAGTGTCTGGGCAGATGTGGAACCACTGGTTCAGATGAGGAAGACCAGGAAAGGAAGCAGCAACAGTTAGATGCCTTCATATGTGACCTCATCTATTTCCCCCAGCAAACTTTTTTGGTAGCTATTTTTATCCCCATTTTACAGCAAAAGAAACTGAGGCTCTTAGAGATTAAATTAGTTATCCAGGCTTACACAGGTCGGGGAGGAACCAGAATGGGAAGATTTTATCCAGGAGGCAGCCAGGGATAGTGTTGGAGCCTGCAGCCTCAAGTCAGGCAGCCAAGGTTTAAACCTGCGTCTGTCAGCACGCAGCTTTGGGCAAGTCTCTTCTTGTCTTTATCTGTAAAGCAGGGATAAGAGTTATACCCTCTTCATAGGGTTAATATATGTCAAGAGATTTAAAGGAGCCTGATGCAAGTCAGCCGTCTCTAAGTTAGCCATATCAGGGTCCATGTGGACTTCCCAGAGGGGTGGAGAAACAGAAGGTGGATTTTAGTTCTTGAGCCAAGACTGAGTTTCATTAGCATGGTGATGGCCCCTAAAAACACTGAAACAAATGATGGCATATAATGTTATTGCTACATAATAGAGACCATCGGGACAAAAATCCAGGAGCCAAAAGACATAAAGTGCATACAAAGGAGGGAATCCTGGCTTGGCTGGGTGTTGGCCACGTGGGTGCCAAAATGTTTTTCTGTATGTTGGAGAGGAAAATTGTTGCAATTACTCAGAACCATTTTGGAGGGCTAAATTCCAGCTTCCCCAAGATGCTCCAAGGTAGAGGGCCATAGGTGTTTACTTTCCAGAGTCAGGAGTCAAAGAATTCTGCACTCTTGGTTTAAGTGATGCTTCTCATCACTTCTCTCTTATTTCAATTATTGCAGCAGCCTCTAAACTAGACTCCTCTGGTTTCTTCCCCAACAACAAATACTTCCTGAGCACCCACATTGTTCCAGGCGTCATTGCGAGGTGCTAGGGAACAATACCAACGAACCCACAGATATGATGCCCTCATGGAGCTTTGGGTCCACATCACTCCAGAGTGATATTTCTGTGAGTAGAAAGCACCTTACACATTGTAAAGGACTGATCCAGTGTTGCTACTGTAGGATGACCAGAGTAATGATGGCAAGTGTTAAAGCAGAGCTCTTGCCTTTCAATGTGGCTCTCCACTGCCTTCAGAATAAAAGGCATAAGCCAAGTCCAACCTGGATTCCAGCCTCACTTCCCAGCCCCTATCCCTTCCATCAGCCTAACACTCCAACCACACCAAAACACTAGCAGTCCCTTTATTTCCACAGCCCAAGGCCCTTGAATATTCCTCTGTCTGAAATACTCTTCACCTACTGTCTGCCTGGAAACTCCCACTTACTCCTTCAAGAGCCAATCCCAACCTCCCGTAACTCTGCCCCACAGGTAGGTTCATCCCTCCCTCGTCTCCTTTTGCAGCATTCTCTATATGGTTGTTTCTCAGTAGGCGTTAAGATATAACAGAACAGCCTGAGAATCAGCTTCAAATCTTGGGCCAACCCTGTCACCAGTCATTGGGATTCAGCATATCTGGGGCGCATAATGGCTAAGAACCCAGGGCTCAGGTCGAACAAATTCAGGTTAAGCCCAAGCTTCGCTCTTTACAAGCCTCATGACCTTGGCCGGGTTACTTAACCTCCTTAAGGTTCTGTTAACTCCATAAATCGGGAATAGAAATAGGCAGGAATGATTCGTTGCGACAAAGTACGTAAAACACTTAACACAGTAGCTGACACCTAGGAAATGCTGAACAAATTGTAATGGTTACTGAAAGAATTTTGGTTTATTCTGCCCCAGGCAGCCTATCCATTTCTTCCCCACCCCACCCATGTCCGGGTTTGAGAATCAAATTGTATTATGATCCATTGTTTATGTGCCTGTGTCTCTTACTAATGTGAAACCCTGGAGGGCAGGAGACATGTTTTAGTTCTAGATGCCCCGCACATAGCACAGTTCTGGGAAGAGCATCACCATTGGCAAGCTGTGTAATCTTGGTCAAGTCCGTCTGCCTCTTGTGGCCTCAGAGATTTTCAATGTTGGGGAGAATAATGCTTACCTGAATAAGGCTGTTATGAGTACCAAATGAGATTATTATGGATGTGAAAGTGTTTTGTGTGTTGTGAGGTGAGTTGTCATTACCATTATGCCATCCAGGGCGAGAAGGGGCTGTGATTTCACAGCCACGTGTCTGTGGCCCTCCATTTCCTCTTCTTTCTCATCCCATGGAACATCAGTGTGACCCTTTCTCCTCAAACATTCTTACTCACATTATACCAAACAGAAGATCCCACAATGACCTGCACAGTAGCTCCAGCCTTCCCAGAGAGAGAGAGACTACAGATGCCCTGGTATGAGGTAAGTTCCTGCGGCAAGCCAGACAGATGTGATCCCTGCCCCAGGAGAGTTGTATTGCTAGTTGAGGGAAAGCCGATGATAAACAAGTAAATCTATAAATAAAATCATTTCAGAGAGTAATAATTACTAAGAAAAATGAAGTAGAAAATGTTACAGAGTAATTGGGGGAGCGAACATTATATAGAGTGGCTAAAGGTCTTTTGAGGAGGTGACATTTGAGCCCAAATTCAAAAGACAAGAAGGATTCAGCCATGTGAAGATCAAGGTTAAAAGGGCTCCAAGCAGAGAAACAGGAAAAAAAAAATGTTTAAAGCAACTTGGTACAAAATGGAGGTTACTGTAGGTGGAATTACTGAGTCAGGAGAGAGTTGGTGGTGATGAGGCAAGAAGGGTAGACAGGGAGGCCACCACGCGGCTTTACAGGCTGTGATTAAAAGAGAGACAGAGAGGGCGCCTGGGTGGCTCAGTTGGTTAGGCGACTGCCTTCGGCTCAGGTCATGATCCTGGAGTCCCTGGATCGAGTCCCGCGTCGGGCTCCCTGCTCGGCAGGGAGTCTGCTCCATCCTCTGACCCTATCCCCTCTCGTGTGTTCTCTCTCTCTCAAATAAATAAATAAAATCTTTAAAAAAAAAAAAAAAGAGAGAGACAGAGAGAGAGATTGACAGAAATCAAATGAACAATCAAGGGAAAGGAAGTTACTTTGATCTCTGCTTCTCGTATGTGCATACAATTCCACATCTCTTGTGTGGGGGCGCCTGGGTGGCTCAGTCGGTTAAGTGTCTGCCTTCGGCTCAGGTCATGATCCCGGCGTCCTGGGATCGAGTCCCGCATCAGGCTCCCGGCTCAGTGGGGAGCCTGCTTCTCCCTCTGCCCGCTGCTCTCCCTGCTTGTGCTCTCTCTCTCTCTCTCTCTCGCTCTCTCTGACAAATAAATAAATAAAAGCTTTAAAAAGAAACATCTCTTGTGTGTCAGTCCTCGTGTTAGGAGATGGAGATACAAAGAAAAATAAAATATGGAACCCGTTTTTAGGAGCCTGGTAACTGAGAATATAGATGTGTAAGTAATTATAATACAATATGAGAAGTCTCCTAGAGGGATGTAAACGCTGAAGGAGCTTAAGGAGGGAGTGACTGACTGTGCCTTAGGGATCAGGAAGTTTTCATTGAGAATGAGGACACTTGCAAATAAAGTGTAAATAGTAAGGGGAAAGAATGTTCCAGCCAAAGGGAGCAGCAGATGCTAAGGCACCAGGGTGAACTTGCTCAGAATGAGGGCTATCTGTTCCGATGGGAACACACCTGGAAAGGAGACCCTGGATCTTGCTGGTGAAGGACCTTCAGTGCCACACCGAAGAGTTTGCATTTTATTATGGATGCACTGTATATATAGAAGGTTTGGAAAGCTCTCTCTAGGACTGGAATGAGATATTAGAGGCACTCACCAGAGGTACTGCAACAGAGCAAGTACAAGACCTGCCTGTGGTTGTTGGTCACGGAGGACCACGGGGGTGGCGGGGGGAGTAGACTTCCAAGGCAGGCTGCCCTTTGTCCTCTAAGTAACAGGACCCTGTGTTCTCAAACTTCAGGGCAGAACTGACTCTATGGGGAACTCCCCCCATGTCTCTCTTCTTGGTTTCACTGCTGGCGCCCTCTCTCGTCCCCGTCGCCAGCCCCCGCCTCCTATCTCAGGAAGCTTGGGTCTCCCTGGGAGCGGGTCTGCCCTTGGGGGAGGCCTCTCGGCTTTGTGCCCTGCAGCTTGGCTGACACTCGGGGCGGACCGAAGAGGGGCTGGGCGCCCCCCGCGTGCACATGTGCTAGCCCAGGCAGGAGGAGTGCCTCAGCGGAGGAGTGCAGAAAGGGGGAAGGAGACGCGCGCCAGAATCTCGGTCCCGGGCGCCCTGGTCGGCCGCGGAGGAGCTGCAGCCTCCAACAGGTTCGTAGAACGCACGCTCGCTCTCTGTTGCTGAGCCGCCACCTCTTCGGCTGGAGCAGGTTCGCCGGAGAGACCCTAGCCATAGGCCCCGCGCCGCCGAGCTCCCTGAGGGTGGCTTCCTCCGGCCCTCCTTCCTTCTCCCGGTAGCTCTCAGCCGCCACCGGCTCTTCCGGGGAGAGGCGGAGGGCGCCACGGGCTCCTTCTCGCTTCAGCACCACCTCGGGGACAGCTCCCGCGCCCGGCGGGGTCCTCTCGCCGGGTCAGCACTGCACCGGCAGACGACGGCCATCCGCCGGCTCCTCTCCTCCTTGGGTCCGGGTTCAGTGCCACGGCCTCCGAGGACAGTCCCTCGTCCCCGCGGACTCCGCTCCCCGCGTCAACACCGCGGCGGCAGGCAGCTCTTGCCTGCTGCCTGCTTCCTGGCGAGCCGCGAACAAAGCCGATGGGCTGGGGCCTCCCGCGTTCCTCGCGGGTGGGTGGTTGCATCGATCGGGGATTTCGGCTTCCCCCAGAGCAGTGTCTGGGGCTAGCTGGGGAGGGGAGCCCAGTCACAATCGCGCGTCTCTGGCTTGGGTCTGCAGTTCGCCAAGGCCTGGCTGTGCAATGGCGGGTCCCAGCTGGAAGTCGGAAAGAGGGTGGAAGGGCGGACGGGCACAGAAGGGTCTGGAGTCCAGTGGGGCGGGCTGGGCCTAGGCTAGAAGGGAGGAGTGCTCTGCCCCCTCCTCCCTCCAGACCCCCACATCCACCCTAGCTCAGGACAACGGACTTCCTTCGGAGAGCCTAACACAGATGCCCGAGGCTGACAGCTGCAATCACTGACTCAGGCTGTCCCTGGAACATCCCTAGAAAGTGTGAGGCTGAGTTTCCGTGGGGGGAGGGGGCCGAGAAACTGCGGGGAAGTCTCAGGAACCGGCAGATACTTGCTTTCCCCTCCCTCCTGACCAGGGTTCCGCCCCCACCTCCGGAGCGTTGCCCGAGAGGAAGGAAGGGGGAAGGGAGGGACCCGGGCAGCAGGTTGTGAACGCCGGCTTGGCTCGGGGAAGCTGCAATTAGTAAGAAAAGAGGTTGAAGGAGCATGAGAAGCTGGGAGGTTCCCAAACTGGGAAGCCAGCTCCGCGGCAGAAAACCAAATGTGTAAGAGGAAAACCTTTCTCTGGGAGCTGAAGCTGGGAGGGCCCTTGCCTCACGTGACCCTCTCAATTACTAATAGTCTCTCCTGGGGAGTCGGCATAGGGGGCAGAGGTGATTTGCCCGAGGTCACTCAGCAATTTAGTAGCAGAAATGGGCCTAAAGCTCGGGCTCCCCCAAATCCTGGGCCTGTTGTGTAGCATTCACGGAGAAGTGTTTTAAAACCCCAGATGCAGGGAGAAGAGCAGAGTTGTTTCCATTCTGAGTCCAGATCTCAGCTCTGTCACTTACTAGCACGTGACCTTGGGACAGTGATGAGAAGACAGGTTAATAGTACCCACTTGTGGTGAGGATTTAATAAAATACCTATATAATGAGCTTAGGGCAATGTCTGGCACATAATAAGTACTCAGAATATGAGCTATCCTTTCTGCTATTATTCCCTCTGTAAACATGCACTAAAGATCTCTTATGTGCACTGGCTGTGCACTGGGGAGACAGAGAAGTGTCCTGGGGAGGGCACAGGCCAGCAGAGGAAGCAGAAAAGAAATCAGTTGCAATATGATGCGATAAGTGCTGTAATCAAGGTGAGTACACAGGGCGAAGAGATCTCAGAGGCAGGAGTGATGAGCCCAGCCATGGGGATAGAAGGGGAAAGGTACCTCAAACACATGGAACTGTGTGGAAAGACCAAAAGGAGTGAGATCAGAGCCACCAGGGTGATGTCACTGTGCTGGAGGGTCCTCGAGATGGGGACTGTGAAATGAGAGTAGAGAGAAAAGCTGGAGCCAGTCTCCAAAGGGTCTTCTGTGATGAAATATTTCAAACCTATTTTAAAAAAATAGAAAGAATAGTATAATAAACCCCACGTACCCATCATCAAGCTTCAACAGTTGGCCAATTTTGTTTCATCTATACCCACACCCACTCTCATCACACTCACACACACACACACACACACACACACAGATTTATTTTGAAGCAAACCCAAGACATCATATCATCTAGTGCAGAAGGATTTTAACATCAACAACAACACCCTGTCATTCAAATGTTCTTCTACCTTGGAAGTCTCTAACTCAAACTATGACTTTCCTTCCACAATCTGTTCTGAACATTCCTGTCCTTAGCAGAAAGTTTTGAGACAGGTTCATCCTATGGTCATGAGCCATGTCTATTATTAGAGAAACTATTTCAGAACAAATGGAGGGTACATCAGCTTCAGCAGATTTCACCAAGCCAGAATTGTTATCTCCACTACCTACACTGTGGCCAGAGGCCAGTAACTATTTGCAAGGCTGACCCAAAGACAAATTGAGCTCCATCAAGAAAAAGACAAAAGTAAGAGCTTCCCTTTCAAACTAATCTGAATGATAAGCTTATGAGGACAGAAGGCTCGAAGTCATGAAATCCTTGACTTGGAAATCATCAAACCCAACAGCCTTTTTACAGATAAGGAAGACAAGGGTCAGACATAGAGAGGGATTTACCCAAAGTTCCACAGGGCTGAGACCAGAGCCAAGACCTTTGAACTCATAATCAAGAGTTCTTGTCAGTTCACCATTCTGCCTGAAAGATTAGGTCTTAGAGTTTCTCAGCCCATAAACCTGGGATGCCATTTCCTTCCCAAGCTCAAAGCGCTGGAAGGAGGAGGGGGAAGTGGGGCAAGAAATGTCCTTTCTGGTTCTCAAGAGGAAGAGGATGACTATATATAGCAGTTGGTCTTTGAGACACGTTGACACGTGTTCCTTCCGTATCCTCCTGAAGAAAGTCTATGACTGTGGTGCCTGTATGCTGGCTACCGTGTGCATCTCCTGCCTCGTCCCCTGGTTCTCATTGACAAATATCTGTGGTCAGACACCCAGACCTCATTTCTGCACGTTTTTGCCCACCCCGTTTGTCTCAACCAGATGCATGTGAAGCTTCGCTTTTTCCATTTGCCCCAAACTGGGCTGCACATCCCTCTCAGCTACAGACCGCCATTCCTCTGATGTACGAGTAGTGTTTGGCCCAGGTCCTGGCAGGACTCAGAGCTCTTGTGCCTTTCTAGAGCATGAAGTCTCTCCTGTTACTGATGAAATGCAATGACCGTGACAGGTATGTGTGCTCCCATCAGGCTCTAGGCACTTCACAAGTCAGCATTTTGCTTTTCAGGGGTGTCCCTGCCTGCAAAATGGGGAAGGCAGTATCTCATAAGTTTCCCTGAGTCTTAGGTGGACAAACTAAAGCACATGTAAGGAGTTCTAAGCATCCCTGGTGAAGAGAAGTCAGCAGAGAATGGTCAATAAAATTACCTCACTTCTGGGAGTATGACTACAGGTGAGACGTAGGAAGGTGATAAAGATAGTGAATTTCAACTTGTGAAATTATCCCAGCTTTTAGCCTCAGATGAGACCAATTCAAATATAATACATATATTACATTATTAGATTAGATTAGATTTTATTATGATGATATAGGTTTTCCCCACTATCTGAAAGTTCGCTTTATGTCACATCACTTTTACAGAAGACCTACATTAGTAGGTCACTTCACTAACCAAAAGAAATTTGAAGAGGATTTCACTTTTACAAAATGGTAATTGCTTCTTTGCTTTGCACCATTTTGGTTTACAAAAGGTTTCATAAGAACGCTCTACTTTCAGATAGAAGGGGAAAGCTGTATTATATTATACTGTCTGGGCCTAGCTGAATTGCAATAGGTAGGATCAATTCCAAAGGGACCTTGGTGAACATTTATTCTTCCTCCAACATTTACTCACTGAGTGGCTATCCGGCGTCAGGCATGGTTCCAGGTATGGAACAAGACACCTCAGATCCCTGCTCCCATGGGGCTTACAGACTTGCAGTAGACACAGTCATTAATAACAATTAAAAAGTAAATATGAAAACATTTAAGTAGACAGACAGACAGATAAGGAGGTTCTGTCTGAAATGGCGACATGAAACTCAGGCCCCAATAACAAGAAGTCAGTCAGGGGAGGATGTGGGGCTACACATTCCAGACAAAGGAAATAGCTCCAGAAGAGGCCCCAAATGTGAGCCTGGTCTCTTTGGGGGACAGGCAGAAGGCCAATGTGGCTGGAGCAGGGAGCGAGGGGAAAAGTGGCAGCAGAGGAGAACAGAGAGGGGGCAGGCACCAGTCCCTCGTGCAGAGCCTTCTAAGCCATGGTCAAGATTTGGGATTTTATTTTAAATGCCAAATGTAAATCACTGGATGATTTTAAGCAGGAGAGTGATATAAACTGATTTTGCTTTAAAAAGATGCCTCTGGTTACTGCATGGAGAATGGATAATATGAACACGCTGGGCTGGGCACAGAGCAGGCAGAGAAGGTGACACACAGTTTCAGCCCTTGAGGTGTTCAGCATCCAGCAGAGGAGACAGGACACGAACCAGAATAGCAGAACCCTGTGGGAAGGGCTGCCGTGGGGAGGGATGTGCAAGGCATTAACACAGAGCTAAGAAGAACCCATTCAGCCTGGGAGGCATCAGGGAGGGCTTCATGGACGTGAGCAATGGCTGTTGGAGTGCACCTGGGAAAGGAGAGAGTAGAGCTGGTGCCAAGGACAGAGAAAGGTAATTTAGCAGCAGTGGACTGCACCAGCTGGGAGCCAGGCCGCCCGGGTTCAGATCCCAGCCACACCATTTAGTACTGTGTGGACGCACACAAGACACACTTTTCTGTGTCCCAGTGTCCTCATCTGGAAAATGGAGATGATGAAAATCACAATACTTATTTCAAGGGAGTTCTGTGAGGATCAAGCAAGTTAAATGTTGTGAAGCATTTAGGCAGTGCCTGGAAAGTACCTAGAAAGTGATATATGAGTGTTGGTTAAATAAAAACGGAGCAAATGGGAGTGGGGGAGCAGA